TTGGGACCATTCGGTTACAAGGTAAGCTCGTAGACTATTCAACCAGGGGGGCCCAACTCACTGACCGACCAGTGAATTCTTACTTCTACCAATTCTTGATTTTAGGGTGACCATCAACTAACTGGGGCGAAACATCTGTCCAGTACTCCCTGGTTTTCAGTGGTTATCTGACTGATATCAATCCGGGGCTAAAACTGAAAGAAATCAAATCCATGGAAACTTAATCTTGGAAATATAATCTGTGAGTAACAATCTGTTCACTCATACACCATCTCTTGAAGTTTTAATGTCAGCGATTCAATGTTATTACAAAAAACATGCTGTCATTATGAATAATCCTTTAATTATTATGGACAATATTTAACTGTAGAACCTGATAAAGAAGAAGAAATTATTGAAAAGAATATTACTTGTTCATCAGTCGCGGGTTTTGAAATGATTGTTTTTTAAAAGTATGGCCTTTTGTTTAGAACACTTAAATGTTCAAATTCCAGAAAAATTACTCAGCAATAGTATGAAAAAGGTGCAAATTCACCTCTCTTCTGTCTATAATCATATTACTCAACAATGAATCAGCTGATATGGGTAAATAATCAATAATCAGCTGGTTAACTGACCTTGATATAATTTGCAAACCGAAATCTACCTGTCAGAGAAAATCTAAGGGATGCCTACGCACATAAACATACATTCCTGTAGACAACTTCCGCATTTTCTGATTGGTAGATTTCAGTTTGTTGTTTTGCTTTTAAGAAAACATAAGAACTAATCAGTTGCTACAACCTTCACTTCACTATGTCAAATCAGGTGATTGGTTGATTGTCTTTAATTGCGTGACTATAGTGTATGACTACACAGATAGCGGATGACTGATTTATGCCTAAAGTCAATATATTATGTGTTGTCATGCCTTGCATATCTGTGTATACATGTTTATTTCATAACTCCGACACGAGTACATAAATAAAAGTACACACCATTTCCCTTTCTTCCAGATTTTTGATGTTTTACTTTATTTTGAGACGATATAAATAGTGACTGAAAGAAATTTTTATCATAAAGTACTTTTTTCGACTAATTACGTGACAACTTCATACCAAAGTCATTGAAACTGATCAACAATGAGTTAATCAATGGATTGTGAGGCATCTTTGTGTGTATCCTGCAATTACCAAGAGTCCGGTTTCGCGAAGGGATTTTGATCAATCTCAAGATTGATCGGGAAACTGATACACATTAAAGGACTAGATGTTTTGTCCTACTTAGGAACTCTTCATCAGCTAGCGCGACCCAGTGGCTAGACGGCCAAGTAAAAGTGTGGCTATCCAGAGGCGCGGACGCACCAGTGGCCTTAAACCCATATTATTTGACGGGTAACGAGACCTACCATTAATATAGAGTCACTTTGAACTCTGCGCACCAATCGAGGTAGAAATTTCATCCTCATTCTCGTTTTCAAACACTGTTTGAATAATATGTTGATAGCTGGCTAGGGTTATGACTAGGGTTAGTGTTAAGATTAAGGTAAGGTCAATGGTTATTACTAACGTTGGGTCCGAGGTTGGAGTCCCTAATTGTACCGAAAGTAAATTTTCCCAGTAATTATGATTCTGCAGTGTTTTTTATCCTACCTGTATGCTTATTATTACATTTTAATCCCTATTTTTCGAATAAATTAATTTGACCCTTGGCAGGAAATAGTTCTGAAACTTTCTTTTCCATTTACTACACATAAGAACTAATATACATCGTAGCTGATGATGACTTAGTGGAAAAGAAAACGTTTTTCCCTGAAACCCCATTTTAACATTTCTTATTCACAGATCATTGAATTCCCCCAGGTGACTTTGATTGGTCAATGAGCTTAGCCCCAGAATCGCCTGAAGGTCTTAGGTTCGATTCCTACCAGTAGGTTGGTGGGTGTGTACTACTGAAAAGGAGTTTCTAACTGTCAGGAAGAAGCGGCTGTCCAGTAGTTCCCTGTTGCGAGTTCTTTTCAGTCGTTCTGTAACTGACACGTGTCAGTAACTTCGTCACCAAACTTGGGACTGGACCTTCAGGAGTTCTGTAGATACCATTTAATATATAAAATAAAATTCATCACAAAAAGCAACTACTTCCACAAGAAATTAACACACGAATTTATGTCTCTCACTATAAATGAGGGACACTGTCTTATTCACGAATTGATGTAAATCAGGGAACTACTGAAAACCTTAAGTAAGACAGTATTATACGGCATTTTCGCCCTTGTTGTTTGCGACTGACACTTCATCAGTACACACATGTGACCCCACCATGGATGGAGTCAAAGGCCTAGATTTCTTCGAGGTATGAAAAATTCCCATTTCACTGGCTACATAGTAAAGATCAGATGGCGAACTAGAAAGAATCAACAACAAGAAACTCTAGCAGTGACTGAACCGACCAAGAACCTATTGATCAACAAATCTTTCAAAGGGGATGAAGGTAGATGGATCGAACACACGCTGAGGAGACCATTGGATGGCATCGTGCACCAGGCCATCGTTTGAGTGGAGTCTAGATTTAAGCCAATGTTAATGGTAGGTTGTCTTTCATGTGCTGGTTGAATAGTTTCTTGTGTAGTTCGGCAGCGAAATATTCTGTGTTTTCTAATGAAAGATTTCGAAAATTGTTTTTGAAAAATTTCTGTTTTCTTATCACTTTTAAATTCGAGATTCAACAGAAGCATCAAGAGAGTTGAAAACGAATTAGTTGAGTGTTGAATATTCGTCTGGAAGTGCTAATTGGCAAGAAGCAACAAAACAAAGGACTGAAAATGGGTTGCAAAGCATAAAAATATATAATAAAAATGCATTTCTGTTTTTATTCATTCACTTTCTTAGTGGAACATAGAGCTTCAAGCTAGAGGCTTGAATTTTCTGTAGCAGTGTTTATTTTTACAGGATGGGGTTGCTAGCCTCATGCCCAGCCTTTCCTCTTTATCAGCGTTTTTTTTAAAACTGCCTTGGCGAGGTAAAGGAGTGCGTCGGAAAACAATTTGACACCATGGCCACGGTGGTCGCAAAATAAGAGGCTGGGTAAAAGCTTTCTAAACATCACGAATTTCGAGCATTTTTCATAAGAATTGCTAAAGCTTCGACTATATGCAAAAGATCTCTTCATGAACTACTTGATCATACTCTTGGATGATGGTTTCTGCATGACCAGAAGTATTTATATGCTCCAAGATTGACTGAGCTGTTGAAGACTGTTCTACATTCTAGTGCTTTGCAGTCCATCTTGAATTCTTTATTCTCTTGTTTCCTAAATGATTATTCATCGCTATGACCTAATTAGTTGTCAACCCTCTCTCTGTCTACCCCTATTATGTAAGACTGTTCGCTATTTGTATTCACACATTCTTATTTATAGTGCACTTTGATTTATTTTTCATTACTAACCGACAGTAAAAATTCTTAGGACTCTTTTGGCAGTTAATATCGTTCACATTTTTTTGTATTGTTATTATTATTGATATTATTCCCTAAGCCTGTGCATGGAACACAGAGCTTTGACCTGGGCACATTTCCATTTTATCCTGTTGTTTGTTACCATCTTTTGCTTTCCCCTTGATTGCCCATAGTCTCTTATCTCCTCCTCCCCGAACAATCTTTCCCATGCCATTCTTGGATATACGCCTAACTCTTCAATTCCCATTCGGACTCCACTCAAACGATGGCCTGGTGCACGATGCCATCCAATGGTCTCCTCAGCGTGTGTTCGATCCATCTACCTTCATCCCCTTTGAAAGATTTGTTGATCAATAGGTTCTTGGTCGGTTCAGTCACTGCTAGAGTTTCTTGTTGTTGATTCTTTCTAGTTCGCCATCTGATCTTTACTATGTAGCCAGTGAAATGGGAATTTTTCATACCTCGAAGAAATCTAGGCCTTTGACTCCATCCATGGTGGGGTCACATGTGTGTACTGATGAAGTGTCAGTCGCAAACAACAAGGGCGAAAATGCCGTATAATACTGTCTTACTTAAGGTTTTCAGTAGTTCCCTGATTTACATCAATTCGTGAATAAGACAGTGTCCCTCATTTATAGTGAGAGACATAAATTCGTGTGTTAATTTCTTGTGGAAGTAGTTGCTTTTTGTGATGAATTTTATTTTATATATTAAATGGTATCTACAGAACTCCTGAAGGTCCAGTCCCAAGTTTGGTGACGAAGTTACTGACACGTGTCAGTTACAGAACGACTGAAAAGAACTCGCAACAGGGAACTACTGGACAGCCGCTTCTTCCTGACAGTTAGAAACTCCTTTTCAGTAGTACATAAATAAATAAATCAACAAAATTTGATTCATAGTATGACATCGCAAATCCTCAGGAATTCAAGCCAGAAATAAACCAATCAAATACTGTCCAATGAGCTATTATTATGTTGTCAGTGTTATGTCAGCGTAACATGCATAAATCATGACTTCGCAATTAAGATGGATAGGCTTTCCGTCTTAATATACAAGGCGTATCTGCAGTCGTGGAGGAACTCACGTGGTCTCTAAGATTCGAATCCGTTCCCTCAACGCCATCACAGCAGTCTGAGACACATTACCACTGCGCTGTTCGTTACTAGCTCATGCTGTACGTCCAGTCCCTGGTGTTGGTTCGGTTCTCAGGAATGGTGTGAGTTTCCTTAAGATTGCAGATATGCCTTGTTGTGACAAGATTGACAACAAGCGCAAACCTAGGTCCAAACAAGTGGTGCTTCCTGCCCATTGCCTACAACCATCGATCTCTCTGGGAATGCAGACACATCCGATTGACTAAGTGACAACTCCCAAATTGGAGGAAACGTGTGCTTACTGGTGGATTCCAGAATTCTAGTCTCCTGTCTAAGCGTCCAAAGTACTAGAAGCAGACTGATATGTTGGCAGAATCCGGAGCTGTCGGTTCCATTCATCAGTTAACGGGTAAAACCAGTGTGAATTCAATGGTATAGCGTTAACCACCCAACTAACTAACTCACTTACTGGACACTGAAATCTAAATTTCGCTGGAATTTTCTTTGACCAAATCACATTTCTGTTACATTTTAATGTCTCTGTATCGTCGTCATCCATGGGAAGGAATAACCAGAATATTTGAAATAGAGAATCCGGTTTGACGTATAATTCATAGAAATATCCAATCCATAAAATGTACAGCCTGTAAAAAAAGAAGAATGAAAGGCAAAATGGAGGGAGGAAGCATTGGGAATGATTCGATGGTGTAAGGAACATTGAGAAGTAGTACAACATTTTAATTTCAAGGTAAACTAGGAAACGAAGACGCCTAACTGACATCACTAGCAGCAGGAGGTCAGTACCCCCACTTACCCGACCTGGCTAAGCAGCATCGTTTTAACTACAGGTGACAGTACACACGAGGATGTCAAAACCAGCTAGGCTGGCGTTGAAAAAAGCAAGTCAAATCATCATCAATAAAACGAGACAAACAGTGTTGAGTGAAGAGTCTCTTTTCTAGGTGAATTCATTCTTTCCTTTTTAGCTGTAAAATCAGTTGCATGCAGTTTGTTTTCCTCATCATTAAAGTGGATACTAAGAAAGGGATGAATCATCATGAGAGTAGTTGCTAATATTGTTAACCGGTACATACGAGAAGTTGAATAAAGGTGATAAGATTACTCAATAAGAAAAATAATTTAGCAAGTGAGATGTGATCAGAGTACACATTGAGACAAAAGAAGTTTTATCTAAGAGTTCGGGAGGAAAGATGAGACAGAAAGGGTCAGAGTAAGTAAATAATAGGAAAATAATAGGATCCTAACAATGATGATAGAAGTGGATGGATGATTTCTTTTTGTATGCATTACTCCACTCTCTACTCCCAGATGGCTAGAGCTTCAGTAGTGCAAAGAAGGCGAAAGCGAATCGTTTTAGGAAGATTACTTTTTACTTTGTTGATCATTTTGAATGAGAAATTCGTTAAGACTGACTAGAGTCAATAGAAGGTGTTTAATTATTTCACTTCTTACAGAGCTGCCACTGTTACCTTTATGCAAAAATGCCGTGAGATAGTGTTCTTCAATCCTTCTTTTAGACACATCGAACAACCAATATACCCACCTCTACGAGAGCAGATAAACTGAAATACATGCAGATGCTCAGATTGTAAGATATAGGATCATTTCATTTGAGCTTTTCAGATCAGTGGGTGACTGCAGAACGCTCATTTTGGCAGTGCTGTTAAGAAACTCCATTCTAAAGAGGCCGAAATTCTCTTCTTAAGGAGGACATCACTGAGTGGGTCACTTTTGAAATCAAGGTTCATTTAAAGTTTCTTTCTTGGCACAGATGATGTCTCTCATCTCTGAATTTCGGGCTTGATGTTTTTGTCAAGAAATCTTGGTCAATGGATATCAGTTCTGCACGATAATTTCATTCAAAAAGTCGAATTCTTCTTCTTTCAGAGCATCAGAGCTACAGATGCCACATTGGACAGACGCGAGTATCAAGAGATTTGAGTCTTTGTTACTCTGGAATCGGTTCAAAGACCCTCACTACTCAAACCAAAGAACAAGACCTGGCTGGATATTTGACACGAGTATCAAGTTTGTGAGTGTTTTTAGTGTCGTTCGGAGACTTGGTGCACGCGCCACTCATGGAAAACATTTCCAACAGGTTAGTGCACCGTACCGAAGATTTGATTAGTAGCTAGATAGGTTAATTCAACAATAGAAATCGGACAAAGAACCAACCAAGAATCTATATCCCAACGAATAAATATGCGTCGGTGCACAGTGGTTAGATCTCGCCGACCATGCACATGGTCCGGGTTCGATCTCTGCCAGAAGAAAATGGCGATAGACGGAATGGACATGAGACCACCGAATGAAATCGCGTGCTAGACAAACACTTGAGTGGGATCGGAATACAGAAAGGTGGGCTGGATCTGTGTCCGAGGGTGATATGAAGGAGACATTACTCAGAAGTCATGGTTCATTGAGTTCCAGCCAACGTGTCTGATTGGTCATGGAACCGGTGCCATAGCTAAAAGGACATGGGTACTATTCCCAGTGGAAAAATGGCTGCCCACCGCTAAAGAGCATCAAACTAGAATCAAACAGCTTTCCAAAACTATTATCATTATCCCCTTGGATTCCGAGTGGAAAATCGAGTTTTAACCGGGGTACATATCTATTTTATCATGTTCCCTGCAGTCTTCTTCAGGTGGCTCAAAAACTGCTCATAAGCTTTCATCTCCTTTATGTCACCCTTGGACACACGCCCAGCTTTTCATATCCCATTCAGGCTTCCACTCTAGTGACGGACTGGCTGGCACGAAATGTCACTCAACTGTATCCTCAGGGTGTCCTGTCCATCCGTCTCCATTTCCTGCGACATCTTTTTTGAGCAATAGGTTCCTGATCTGTTCATTCCCAGAGTTTACTTTTGCTGATTCTTTCTGATTAGCCATCTGATTTTCTTTTTGAGGCCAGCGAGGGCAGCTGTTGCTGAAAGTCTCGGGTAGCCTGTTAGAAATGTTTTTCATGACATACCAAGTTTCTGACCAAGAAGATTTCCAAACTGATTCTAGAGTAGTGAAAATCTGTCTTGCCTTTTGCCGTTCTGCTCTTGACATCCTTATCCATGCCTTCAACTGTCGTTGAAACGATGCTTCCTAGATAAGTGGAGGGAACGACCTCTTTCGAATGTTTTTCGGCTGATATTGGTTGGTACCTAGAAAGTAATACTCATATCCATAGACCAATCAGTAGTATATAGCATCATGAATACAGATCTTGCCTCCCTGATTGACATTTATATGGTAGTATCAAGCAGATCACGCCTTCTGTGTTCGTGTTTGCGCGTGATTTGAATATTATTAGTTTTGATTTATAAGAGAAATCGTTATAAGTTTTGTAAGTAATTCACAAGTTACTATTATTTAAGCAATTCACGTTATTAGTCAGTCCGATAGATTATCGATCTAGTCAGTCAGTTAATAAGTCTGTCAACCAGTGAATGACTAGTCAGCTTTAATGGACTTTTTAGATCATTAAAGTATGGAAACCGGAAAAACACCTATTCACGTGTTCAGAAAAACGTTTTGTTGTAGAAAAAAGAGCGTTTGAATCACCTGATTATGATTCATGAAAAGACCATATCAGATGGCCAGTCGTTTTTGGAATGATTATATACGTGAGTTAGAAGTTTCCACAGTTAGGTAGTAATATATCCATTTTTCAGGAGTGAGTTTGTTCGGAGGGAGGGGGTGGATTTAATTTGTATCTAGTTTGACTACGGATTTATATCAGCTGGAGAACAACTGAAAACAAGCGTTGGGGAGTATTATACACCTGTTTCATACTCCTAATCTGAGACTGACTCATGAGCAGTACGCACCCACCACCAGAGATCGAGCCCAGTGCCCCTTCCGCTCGCACGTTAAGCTCGTTGCCGACCATTCAGCCATTGTGACCCAACTCAGTAACCAGTCCATGAGTTCTACCTTCTGTTGATTCGTGATTTGAGCTCACCAGCGGCGGTGAGTATTTGTCTTCATTACAAACCAGTTGGGCCCCACTGCTCACGACTTCTCACTTGAAAATACACCAGACAACTTCATCCTTCTTCAGTGAGTCACTAGCGAGTATTATACTAATTTACAAGAGTTAGTTTGTAAGCGGAAATTTGATTTGTTTCAGGTTTGATATCACGGACTTATATCAGTCAGACGAGCACCGAAAACCAGCAACATAGAGTACTGCCAGACAGCTGTGTAGTCTCCCTGGTTTGGGACTGCGTCATCGGTAGTATTCATCTATCACCCGGGTTTGGATCAGACAGTCAGGACCTTCCGATTACAAGGAAAGGTTGCTGAACATTTGCCCACTGGAACCCTACCCAATGGTCCATTCAATAGATGATAGACGATTTCAGAACCCTTTGTTTCTACTTACTTATATATGAGTTTTATCAGTGACGGATCATGTCATACAAAACTGGAGAACTACAAGCGAAAACAACCAGCAAGCTGGCAGAACAGACTGTTGCTGAAAACTAGACTTTTCAGGTAATGTTAAAGAAGACAGAGGGGATGAAATTACTTGATGACAAACAGCAAGAAGCTTCAGTCACCATCAACAAGAGGAATCTGAAAGAAGTCACCTCTTTCACCTGCCTCAATTAGGCACCATAGTTATAACTAAAGACGTTGGCGAAGAGGAGGATGTCAAAGCCAACTATAATGAAAGAAGCGAGAGACATGGTCAATATACTGAAGTCAATCTGGAAATCTACTACCCTCCGCCTCAATATAAGGAACAAGATACGTATCATTAACCATAGGAAAACTAAGACTAGCAATAAAAGTGACGAAGACAACGAAAATAATATAGAATTGAAAACCTCTGTAGCGCTGCCATATTAAGAAGAGACATCAGAGGCCTTACGTAGAACTCTCAATGGTGCTGGAATTAGAGTGGCATTTAAACCAAACAACTCTTTCAGATATAAACTTTGTCGGCTTAAGGACCCAATAGATCCAGTTAGGAAAATAAAATAATTTACCAAATACCATGTCATGACTGTTAGGTCAATTACATAGGTCAGACTAGTATTTATTTTTTTATTTTTTTTTAATTTTTTTATATTTTGGTTACGGCTTGATGCCACACTGTATTTTCAGTACAAGTATGACATTTTCAGCACGGATATCGGTAGCCCAAATTTTACAGGCCGACCATAGATATCGAGTGTGCGTCGGCAGCGGATCGAACCTCGGACCATATGCATGGTCGGCGAGAGTCCTAACCACTGTGCCACCGACGCACAGTAGATCGGTGTCAACTAGATTACTGAACATAAAAATTTAGCTAAACCTAGGATGATTGACCCTGCTAAGTTAAATAACCTGGAAAATAAGATTGGTGAAATGTTCAAATAATAGAACACAAAAACTAAGTTGTACCAAAGAAAATCTAAGACAGAAAGTGAGGCATACAAGAGAAGCCTTGAAACTTAATAATTACCTTGATAAATTAGTCAGAAAGTATGTAGGGAAATGTAAAAATAAAATAAATAATGATAGTAGTGATAGTAATAATAATAATAACAATAATAGTAATATTAACGACGACATGCATGTCGAACATGCACAAGATAATGACAACACCAAGAATAAGGAATCTAAATCATCAGTAT